AAGGGGTATGTAACAGTAAGTGCTCAATAAACATCACTTAAGTAAGTAAAAGAATATATAGATTTGTTTATTAACATCTGTAAAAGAGAACTACAATTTGAATAAAAGAATTATAAAGCCGTGTAACATGATGCTTCTGAGTACCTGAGGTTTGCTATTTTCTTTTTCTGTTTCTAGAGGCAAAAACCATAAAGTTCTAGATTAAAAATGTCCTCTCTTGACCATTGTGTGAGCTAAGATTGAGAAGACATGGTAGAGTGCTGGTGAAGTTGTTTATTTTTATGCTCTTTCTTCAACTTACTTCCATGAGCTTCTAGATCTTGGCAGAATCTGGGGTAGTCTTAAGCCATAGGACTCTGGGATTGAGGCTCAGTCTAAGATTACCTTGTGATTGTTTCATTGCTCTAAAAATCTCCCAAACTTACATCTTGAATAACGTTTTTAAGCACCTGAACTAAACATATTGGAGAAATTCTAATGAATAATAATAATCAGAACTCTTAGCTCTGAAAACATTCTAGAAGTGAAAAAAAATCTCAGGCAAAGGATCTAGATATTTTTGGTTTGTTGATTTCTCCTTTCATTTCATGTCCTCACAATATTCTTTAAAGGCCCAGGTTTCTCTCATGGAGAGCCACCCATTAGAAAGAGGCTAAACTATACATGCGAAAAAGTGGACCCAAATCCTGGTTCTTCTATTTTCTAGGTTTGTGATTTGGAAAAATGTCCTTATACCTCCATGGACCTTAGTATTTCATTTGTAAAATAAGAATGATAATAGTTATCTTTTCAACCTTTTAGTGTTTTTATGAAAATTGAGAGCCTATATCTGAAAGTTCCCTATAAATTGCAAAGATTTAAGGGGACTTCTAGCATGTATGAAACCCAAACTTTGCTCTCCCACCCCACCCCATTTCCACTTATGAATAGTTATACTTGAGACTTGAGGGAGCATTAGGGAAGAGAGGCAACATATCATCAGTACTGACTATGAGTGTATAATAGTCAATGGGTGATCAGAGCACCTATTGTTTACCTATGTTTTAGAACAATTAATAACAGAAGGAAGAAGTGACTCTAGGGTGCATTTTCTCATTTTCTCAAAACAGAAAAGTTTTTGTGCCACAAAGCATAAAGAAATTACTGGACTCTTTTTTTTAAAAAAAACCATGGGCATCTGGTATAAACCTCCTTAACACCCTCCACTTTTCAAAAACTCATTTCAGAGAGGTAAAAAAATCACCAGATTCCCTATGAATAGCCTTGTCACCTGGCTTCATGTAAATAGGCCTGGGGAGTGGAGAAGAGATTTTTCCTGCATCAATAGGCCAGGAAAAGTCCCTATAGGAGTTTCCTTAGTCACCTCCTCTGTCCTTAAAGAAAGATAGGAGGTCTGTTAACAGGGACTTTGGGACCACAGTCTTGTAGAACATTCATTAACTATACCTTGCTTCACAGTGTTCTGTACATCAAGCTAGAGAAGAAGTTACTTACTCTTTTATTTGATCTGAAGCCAAAGGACTCAGAGTTAAGAACTGAAAGACCTTTAACATGGATAGATACTCTAGGCTTGAACACTTGATACACATCTTCTAAGGGATTTTCTGGGGTTTTGAATATTAAAATTCACTTTCACCTCCCCTTTTATACTTACTCCAAGCTTAGGAGGGCATTGGATAGAGCACAAAAACTGGAGGTTCATGCTGCTGTTAACTAGCAGTGTGATTGGAGCAAGTTAGTTGCCAGGCCCTGAGATTCCATTACTTCCTTGTAAAAAGAGTGGTTTGTGATGAGACAAGTAAAGAGTTAACAGAAGTGGGCTTGTGAGCTGGCAGGATGGGACAAGCAAAGAGCTAATAGGAGTGAGCTTGTGAGCTAGCACAAAGAAGCTTAAAAATTAAACACTTGGCTCTGAATACCCTAGCTAGCATTGTACCTGCAAGCTGACAAGCACCTTACATCCATCATAGGTGGGAATAGAACAGTCCCCAATCACAATGGCGACATCCTCCAAACTAACAAACACTCATCATAGATGGGAACAGGACAGTTCCTGGAAGACAATTGTAATGGCAGCACCCCTGCAAGCTGAAAAGCATCATACATCCTGCTTAAAAAAATATAAAACTTGAGCAAAACACAAACCCAGCACAGCTGTCTCCATGGGACTCTGCCTTGGCAAACTCCTTTTGCCAGCATTTCTCTTACCCCTCTCTCTCAGTGGCTGTGATATCAGACTCTGTTCTGGCAAACTTCTTTGCAAGTATTTCTCTCTGCCTGACTTTCAATAAACATTGTCTTGCTCTTGTAGAGTCCTGTGAGTGATTTCACATGCTATGAATGACCAGGGGTTAATTCTATGCCAAAACAGCTTAGACTAGGTGGTTTCTAAGCTCCCTTTTGTCATTCATTACTTAGGAACACAGTTTCAATGTGGTGACTGTCCGGGGACAAAAGCTCACAATACATTCCCCAAGAAGCTTAGCTGTAAATTTTTTTCCTTCATCCTCCACACATTGGTCTCTCCTTTCACTGTGCTAGTCCATGTATCTAAATTTCAGATTTGTCTCCGACTTATGCTTACAATTTATTTCTAATTATTTTCTTCTTGATATTTACACCTCTCTTATTCCATAGGGAATGTGGAACACAGAGTTAGGGCTTGAATATTTCATGGAATCCTAAAATATGACATTTATCAATAGTATTTTTATTTTCATACACACGAAATACTTTCTATCTATGCTGGAGAGGGAGTATGTATGTTATACAGATGGTTGTAATAGAAATAATTCACCCCAGCTTCACCCTTGGAGCCTCCTCTGTTACTTTCAATCTCTTACCAAACTGACCTAGGCTAACTCATAGAACAAATTTTGTTTTCCATACTTACTGCTCCAAATTGGCTGCCACAAATCATAATGAACTAGTAACAATTAGGAATTATTTTATCTTTGGAAAATCAAGTCAGTAGCTCCCTATTGGTGACCAATAAAAGGCAAATTCCCTTGTCACTTCAAGAGTGGAAACTCAGACAAAAAAATTCAACCTGCCAGTAAGTTGGGAAATTGAATGCTTGAACAAAGGCTCTGCTCTTTCTGTCTTCTCATTAAATGGGAAATGGGACAACAAGATCATCTGGTTGAACCCAAAGATTTGAGATTTGTTAACTTTTTTTTTTTAAGATTTTATTGGGGAATTGGGGGAGGGGAACAGACAAGTTGCTGCCCTTTTGTTCTTCAGTCTAGTTGTGGAGGATGTTACTTCACTGGTCCATGTTGGTATTGTGATCATTGCACTCTTCCCAGGTGAGGCAGATCGGTCGCCGGTCTCTGGACGGCCACTCACGGTGGCTCTTGGCAGCTCACGCTGGCTGGCAGCTGCTCACACTGGCTGCCAGTCACTCATGGTAGCTTATGGAAGCCCACTGCAGCAGGGGCTGCAGCCTACGCCGTCGCCAGTGACTCTACTCAGAGCAGCCCAGCTCCAGGTCAAGCTGTTGTTCACCATCTTAGCTGTAGAGGGCAGTGTCACTGGCCCTCTTGTGGGATCCGAACCGGGGCCCTGCTGCTCAGAGCTGGCATCCCAAGCCAGCTCTTAACCAACTCGCCACTCGGCCGGCCTGAGATTTATTAACTTCCACTGACTTATCCCAACCTTGGCACACAGCAGACTTCATTCTCAACTTTGTGTTGAGAATGGAAGAGGCATTTGCCAGCCTAGGCCCTGGATAACTTCAGAGAGAAGAACTGCCTGCCTGCCTTAAGTTGTCTGTCCAGCTCTGGACAGTTACTTACCAGGCCCAAGTCCTCATCTGGTGATTCATCAATCTCCACAACATTCCCACCACAAAACTTTTACTCTACAAACATGCCCAGAATCACTATCAAGTTTGCTTGTATATGACACTTATAGCATCTACACTCTTTTCCTTCTTGAAAACTGGAATGGCATAAGCTCACTTTTAGACTTCCCTTTATTTGCAATTTAAAAAATATCGCTGAGAATGGTCAGCAATCTCACTGCAAGGTAAGAGCACTAGGCTGCAATAAAATTGAAATTGCTCATAGACAAATTTTTAAAGGCAAAGGGATAATTTCTTATGGATTCTGAGAAAAATTAATATTTTATTTTTTACCAGTTTCCAAGAAAATAATACTGAACTGTTGTCAACTAAATTGAGCCACAGTAAATATAGTTCAATTGACAAGATGAAAAAAATTTTTAATTGAAATACAGGAGGACTTACATCACAAAAATGGCAACAGGAGGAGTGCTTCTTGAAATCTCCCCTGGAAGTTACAACAAATTGAACAGCTATGATTGAACAAAGGATCCCCTGCACAACACACAGGCACATCTGAAAGACCTGAAAATCAAATCACTTAAAGGTGGGCAAATGGGGTGAGTGGAAGGCATAAGTGAAGAGATGTGGGCCATGGGACTGCAGGATGCAGTCCAGAGCTCGATGCAGCCTGGAGCTTACTGCAGTTGTGGGAGAGGTAAGAATTCAGGCTGCAGGTACACAACCTGTGACCCACAGTCCTGCTTGAGGGATCAACATATAACATGGCTGAACCCAGCACTCATGGCAGGGACCTCAAGAGCAAAGACAGAACACACAACGATGAGAAGAGTGGTTTAAGTACCAGGCAGAAAACAGAAAACAAAGACATGAAGGCTGGCTGCCTACTGCCACCCTCCCAGAGCTCGCTCCACCCCCATCCTCCCGGTGTTAGAAGCGGGTTCCAGAAGAAATGGCAGCGGTGTCAGATTGAAGAACAGAATATCTGCAGCCCTGACAACTGAAGCCACAGTTCCAGAGCCACAGGCTCACAGCACAACTAATTCTGGGGAAAGGAAAGGAACTGTAGGGGCATGACAACTATGGGCTGGTAGTCGTCATTTCCCAGAGCTGCAAAAACATCAACCGTCTCTCACAGCCCACGCTGCCCCCATCTTTCTGGGTGGATCCCTGTGGGGCCAACCAGAGCTGCTGAGATACAGAGGTTTTGCATGGGATTCCAGGGACAACACTAGGATTTCAGAAGCTAAGAACTCTATTGCCCTCCACATCCTCCTATGGAGATGATGCCCTGAGATCCAGGTGATCTACTCACAGAGGAGAAGCTGACATTCCATTGAATCCTCCATTGTGTGAGAAGCTGGAACAGTGCAAAATAAAATAAAATGCTACAGCATGAGAGAAAATAAAAGGCTAGAGAGAGAGAGAAAATAAAATATTCCAGCAACACCTACTGGAAAGCAAAAGAAAGAACTCTTCATATCAACCTGCTACAGAACCCACATCTATAGATGCCCAGGAAAAGAAATAATAATTCATTAATTGCCATGAATAAGCAACGTAAAAAGGAAGCCCAGAGAGAAAATGAAAATGAACTTAAAGACATGGAAATATGTGACTTAAATCACACAGTATCCAAGATTGCACTTCTGAAAAATCTCAGTGAGATACAAGAAAACAGACAGGCAGTTCAATGAACTCAAAAACACAGTCAAAGAACAAAATGAACATTTTACCAAAGAGATTGAAATTTAAAAAAACAAACAAATAGGGGTGGCCATTAACTCAGTTGGTTGGAGCGCAGTGTTCATAGCACCAGGGTTGCCAGTTCAATTCCCATATGGACCACTGAAATGCACCCTCCACAACCAGAATGAAACAACCACTTGAGTTGGAGTCAGGGAAGCCA